CCGGACGGCATCCGCCGACACCCTTGAGATGTCACCGGCGTGCAACGTACTGCCCCGACTCCACCGCCCGAAAAGCCCCAAGGACGACCACGGAACCCTCGGAGAGAACCCCCAAACACCCCGTGCATGCCTGATACCCCCCGCGACAGGGCCCCCCAAACGGCGCCCATGCGCGACGGCCCGCCCAACAGCACCCGAACACAGTTCAAGGTCACCACCTGAATCTTTCCCGCAGCAAAGAAGCCGTGATAGCGACCACGAGGAAAAAAAAGAGGTCGGCGGATGTGGCGTAAGCCTATAGAATCATAAGTGAGGGGCTCTCTGGCGGGAGCGGGGGTCTTGATTTCAATTGCGAGGAAGTCTTGACTCAATTGCGAGGAAGTCTCAAGCGGGAAAGCCGTTCCTGCGCAACTTGTGAGGAAGTCTCAAATGGGAGCGGGGGTCTTGACTAAATTGCGAGGAAGTCGCACGCGGAAGCACCGATCCTGAGTAAATTGTGAGGAAGTCTCGGGAGCGGGGGTCCAGAGTAAAATTGGAGGAAGTCTCAAGCGGGAGCCGTTGTTGTTGAAATATGGGGGGCCAGGGGCCCAGTTTGAGCAGGAAGACTTTCCCTGTCAAAAAACAGGGTGCGAGCGTCGAAGGGCGCACTTTGATGGAGAAAAACAATGTGCACCAGTGAGGGGGGATCAACTATTCTTCAGAAGTGAAAATTCGACAACCACAACAACAACAACGCAACAAGCAAATTCCTCACCAATGATTCTCATTTCGACCACGCACCCAGGGACAACGAATGACCGCTCGGCCCCCTCATTCTGATATGGGAATACGGAGGGGATGCAACATGAAAAAAATCGAAGGCAAAACAAAGAAGGACTAACGCGCGGTTGATGATGAAGGCGAGGGGTTGGCCGACCCGGCTCTAGACCGAGACCTTAGGCTCCAAGCCCCTCGTCTCTGACTGCAGCAGCCCCGCCCTCCCCGCCGCCGCCCGGGCGCAGCTGGGAACATTCTGCCTGGTAAGGTCTGACCTCGCTGCGCCGTGGGCCTCTGCCACCAGTTGGTTGAGCCTGATGGGCGGCAAAGTAAACGCCATCGGGCTGTCGGCGGCGCTCTTGGGGCGTCGGTCCGACCGAGCACGCTGGAGCCGAAGCTTTGCTCATTTCCGGGGAAGGAAACCGTTGCGCTGGCCCCGCAGACCCCAGGGCCTGCCCCGCTGGAAAGGCCCGCAGCGATGGCGCGCCAAGTGGCTCGTGGGCTGCTCTAGGTGATCATAGCGCGAGAGGTCGTCCTCGGGGACCCTGGGCGAGTTCCGATGAATTCCGAGAGACACGCGCAAAAACTAAGGCAGTCCTGCTCCGCCACGCGCTCCCGCCAAGACTTGCGCGCCCGAAGCTGAATTCAGCAGTTCGTGCAACGGCGCTGGCCATTGACGCGCGCAGGGGCACGGGGCCCCCGGAGCGCTCGGGGGGGCCCGGGGGCAGGGGGGCGGGGCTCAGGGCCACTGGCCGAGGGAGGGCCGACGGCGGCCCCAGGGGCCAGAGCGGAACCCGCGAACGAGGGAGGAGAGAGGCTGTTCTCTGGCTTGGCGAAAGCCTTGTTGCTTCGAGGCGCAGTCGCTGGCCGCTCTCCAAGGGCGCTGGCAACGCGTGCGAAGTACTTCCTCGGCAGGCTGGGGTCTTCCTGACACTGCTCGACATCGGCTGCGCCGGGGTGGCTACCAAGTTTGGCTGCGGCCTTGGCAGCTCGATTGGCGCCGTCGATGCCGCCGGCGATTCGGCACTCGTCGCTATCGACGGGCGGGGATTCGAGGGCCCCGGCGGGCGTTGACCTTCCGAAGGCGCCCCCCCAGGCGGACGTGGCCCCCTCCAGCCAAGACTTCGCGCCCCGCCGATCGATTGCGCCTGGGGACATCCGTTCCGCCACGCAGCTGGAGCACTCCTCTATACCCAGAGAATACGTTAACGACGCGGGGGGACAGGCGGCCAGCCGCGCCAGCAGCGAGATGCTCGGCAGCCCCAAAGGTTTGGGCGAGGAGGCCTCTGGCCCCCCCACGTAAAACCGCAAACACCTCTCCAGCATGCTACAGCAAAGCCCGCGGCATTGAAATCTAAATGATTTGCAGGTGCAGCTGCCGTTGCTGAACGCGTCCCTCTGAAACGCTTCCTCGATTCAACTCAAGATACTGGCGCCAGAAGTACCTTGTCTCCAGACCAGTGCCGTCGGGAGGGCAACCGGACACCTTAATGCACCACTGGGGCCCAAGGCGCAGCGGGGAGGCGGCTGGGCGCGCGGCGCGGCAAGCTGGGGCGGCGACCCCTCCACCTCCTCCTGTCCTCTGTCCTCCTTTCTCCTCTTTCCTTGTCCTTTTCCTGTCCTCCCCCCTGTTCCTCCTCCTTTTCCACTCTTCCCTCCTCTCTCCCCTGGCCTCGGCCCTCCAGATTCCTCCTCGTCCAATATTCCTTATCGGAGGAATGACATCATCATGCTAAAAACCAGATGTCGAGAAGGATATGAAGGTTGGAGGAGAAGTTTTTGGAGGGCGAGCGATCCCACATAGAATGTTGATAGTTACTAATAACTAGTGTGTTGACTATATATATGGCCCATGTTGGTTCAACATGAGTCACGTTGATTCAACATGAGCCGATAATCGCGCCAGCGGTTGTTGAGTGGCATAATCGAGCCAGCGCAACATAATCGAGTCAGGCGGGCGGCGCGAAAAAATCATGACTCTAAGATGCGTGGGGCATCATCCCTGAGGCGCTGGCCCGGTGACCTTCAGATGCCCCTGGGCCGCCCGCGGAGGTCACCGACCCATTGCCGTCCGGCGAGGCTGATGAACTTGTGGAGCTTGAACGGGAGGAGGTAGAAGACAAGGTTGAAGATGCCGCAGAACGAGTGGAAGGATAGGTACCCTCCGGCCCGTCAAAGAAATTAGAACGTGCAGGCGAGGTAGAGCGTGAGCGTGCCGGCGAGACTGGAAGGGCTTCCATGGGCACGGCCGCGGGCTGATTTCAGCCAGGCTGCATTGCTGCGGGGGCGCCGGACAGCGGAGTAGAGGCCCAGGGCGAAGTTATGGATGAGGAATTCCCCTCCCAGGGGGCGTTGTCGGGTGCTTCGCGATATGGGGGGCCGCCACACGGCCGCGAGGATGCCCCTCGGGACCAGGAATGCCAGGCCACCAGCGCGAGTGCTGTTGGCGCAGCCCGAGTAGAAGAATGTATACCTATGACGGCAGGGCCGACAGCCATGTCCTGAGCTGCTCCGCGTCGCCGTGGGCCTCCTGGACCATGACCACTGCGCCTTGTTTTATGAACTTCTGCAGTGCAGCCAACTTGCGCCTCCGCTTGCAGCGGGAGGAACATAATAGGCTGTGCGCATTCCAAGTCACCACAGACAGCAGACTGCCTGGGGCCGCCCAGGGGGCCCAGCACCGGCTAGGACCACGGCACGTCGGAGCGCAGGTCCTGGAAGAGCTTCTGGAACTCCGCGTCGATGAAGTCGCAATCGATGCCGCGCCTTTGCGCCTCCGGCCGCTTCCACTCGATCTTGGAGGGCTCGTCGGGGACCTTCGGGACGATGATCCTGGCGATCGGCATGCGGTCGACTTTGACCTCACCCTTGCCACGGTTGGGCCAGAAGTCGAGCTGGGTGTAATGGCGTTCCAAGGTCTGGGCCAGTCGCTTGGTCTGGAACTCCATCCGCTGAGTGCGTGGAGAACGGTCAGGGTTAATATATAGGGGCTCTGCAGGTCCCGCCACGGTGGGAGCGCTGAACTGCCGCCGACGTCCGCCTGGGAACTTGAGGGCCTGGGCCAAGGCGAGAGCGCGGGCGTTGCCGACGACGCCGCCGTGCACCTCGACATGGAACCGTCGGCCAGGGCTGGCGCCATGGATGGTGACGTGCTCTGGCTGTACTCCCGCGGCCTGCAGCCAGGTGCCCAAGGCACGCTGCACTGCATCTGGGGCTGTATCGTCCTTGGCGTTGACCGTGAAGAAGTTTGGTTCGGGATCGCGGTCCCGCACGGACAGGCGCACGAGGTCCGTGACACCCGCGGCACGCTCCGCGATGCGAAGCGTTTCTTCGATTTCGCGGACCTTCCCGGCCAGGTCCGCCTGCTGGCCTCAATGGCGTCGACCCGTGCGGAGCATTCGTGGACCTCGTCGCGGAGCTCGTCGACCTTGCCGTCCAGCTTGGCGGCGTGGTCGGCGACGAGGCCGGAGATCTTGTTGTGGAAGTCGGTCGTGACGGTCCGACAGGCCGTTTCAAGCTGGGTTGCAGTGCTGCCCAAGATGTCCGCCAAGGCAGTGCGCATGTCCTCAGGACAGGAGGCCGGGAGCCTGTCGACGGACTCTTTGACCCGGTCGCTGAGGGAGGGCCCAGCCGGTTCGGGGGCTGCAGCATGGCGAGCGCCAGCAGCCGCAGCAACACGAGGGCCATCAGCGGCAGCCGCAGCCGGGGCCCCGGCTGCCGAGCCCGCGGCACCTGCGGGCTCGGGCGGACGGGTGCGAGGGCTTTTGGGAGCCCCTTGCGCACCCGGGGTCCCGCAGGGTTCGTCCTCGGGCTTGCGTCGCCGGGCGCGCGACGGAGAGCGCCGGACAGGCCGAGCGGGCGGGGCCGGCGGCTGCGAAGGGGTGACTGAAGCTGGGGCAGGCGCCATGGCGGCAGCAGCCCACGGATCAGCAGGTCCTTGAAGCGGGTCAGAGCGAGCGGCAGCAGCGCCAGCAGCCGGGGGCATGCGCCGGCGGCGGGTTGCATGCACGGGGGCCGCGGGCGGCCGAGCACTTGAGCAAATGGGTACGGATGCTCAAACCCCACGAGATCCCCGAGGAGGGACGTGGGGCTTGAGCCAAAATGGCTACGGAGGATCCGGAGGAGGAGGAGGAGAAAGAAAGGTGCAGAAACAGGAAAACGACGACGACGACGATGACGATGGCGACGACGACGACGACGACGACGACGACGACGCCGAGGGCTGCGGTGGCGTGCAGGCGCGCCGCTCTCGCCGCGCGCTGCGCCGCACAGCGGCGCTGCGCAACCTGGGGAGGGCCCGGCGAACAGCCGCGCCTGCGCGGCGTCGGGCGGGCATCAGTCGTCTCCCTTGTGACCTCCTTCGTCCTCGTCCAGTCGGGGTCGTCCAAGAAGGGCTGTGGCAAATCAACGTCCCTAGGGGGGCCCCGCGAACAGCCGCGCCTGCGCGGCGTCGGGCGCGCATCTGTCGTCGCCCTCGTGACATTATCCGTCCTCGTCCAGTCGGGGTCGTCCAAGATGGGGCGTGGCAAAACAAAGTCCTAGGTGCGTGCGCCGCCCATGGGGCCAAGGCCCGTATTGAAAGATGGGGAGGAGGCACTGAAATGCAGGGAAATATCATGGCCCCGGCCATGATACCCCCGCCTGTCATCACCCCCTCTTGGCCGCTACCAATTCATCACTCATCCCCGTGCGCGCGAGGCTGGTGTATCCACACGTCCGCTCTGTGCTTCTACAACGGCGAGGCCAGACCACCGTGCTCCGTCGAGCGTGGCGTTTCCCCGTCTACCACGAATTTGCTGGATGATTTCGTGGAAAGCCGAACCTCTGCCTCCTCCTCCTCATCCTCCTCCACCTGCCAGTTTTCCAAAGGACAGGGTGCTCGCGCAGATGCAGCTGGAAGGCAGAAATGTGTACCTTGATTCAAACGGCGAATTGTTCAGTGGCATGGGCGGGCTAAGTAGCAAACGTCCGCCCTCGACCTGGCTATATAAGTCGAAACTGTCGCGAACGGATTCTTCCCAACGAAAATCGACCGCGCAAGATGAAGTCGGGATGGTGACTAAGCTCGGGAAAAATCTACGTTGGTCACAACGTAGCTTTGCTTATGATGGGATCTCAGTGCGATGCTTACTGGCTTCATCAACAAATCTGACTTTTCAGACACAAATTGTTACAATGGGTAAAGAAAGGAAGAAACAATACACACTCACCTGTCCGTTGGGCGGCTCGACCGCGACCTGGCCGGCGGATGCTCACCTTTGCTAGCTGCGTTGGCCTGTCCCTGGCGCTCCCTCATGAATGGCTGGTCGCGTGGCAATACTGAGCAGGCACCAGCCGTCCTGGCATTCTTATAAGCCTACCGCGGCATGTTCTTAGAACCCGAAGATCCAAGAAAAATCCAAACAATGTTCTCATAACATCGACCAGAAGTATTTCAAACAAGACAGTCCCGGCCAGAAATGTTCTAATAACATGTCGTGCAGACCACAAAAGGTTCTTATAATATTCTTGGGTGGGCCTAAAGGCAAGCCAGGACGCTTCGCCACTGCTTGACAGTAAAGGCTGCGCATCGTTAACCGCATCTTCCTCCTCGTGTTCGCCGGCGTATGCGCCAAACTTCACGATGTTGGTTACGAACGTCAACTTACCTATGTATGGTCTTGTGGTTGATGGCATGGTGACGGCAGGTGGCTGCCCAGAACGCACCGCCCATGTGACGAATGCTGGACGACGTGCGCCGACCCCCGCGATGGTCACGGCGCCTCCAATACTCCTCACTAGGAGGCAGGGAGTACCGCGCAACTCTGCGCATTCAGCTATAAAGGATGGTCGAGGCCTGGGAGCTGCGCCTGCCAGAGGGTCTCTTCGTCGCACCGAAGGATGCTGTCCCTTACGTCGGAGTGCAACCACTCGACGTCGCGCCTGGACCTCATCATATTAGCTTGGTGTTGGTAAGACATCCTTCCAAAGCTAATGCAACATATTTCCACGCGTTGCTGATCGTTACAAGTTCGGCGGCGAGCTCTTTCGTGAGAAAGCGTAACACCCAGTCGCCTGTCGCACATGCCCCGTGGTCGTTGTCCACCGCTGCATCACTGCACAGGCACTCGGCTTTGGTCGCGGCGGGGTTACAAAACCAGAGTGTGCCAAACCATGGCGTCAACATTGATATTGGAGCCCAGGGGCATTCGCAACGTACACCTGCGCGTTCCCCTTACTGTGCCAATCGACGACTTCACGCGGGAGGTTGACTGGTGACATGGGACCTGGGCAACCTCCAGACTCACGAGGGAATGATCCGTGGCTTGCATTGCCAACTATTACCCGATGGCCATGTACTTCTCACCTGTGTTTGCAGATGTTCCTCCACGAATTCGGGCCGCGAAAAACAATGCTGGAAACATCTTGTGCGCATCCGGCGCGAACGGTAAAGTTGTGGGTATTGACGTGGGTTACGCACCGGGTGAATCAGGCGCCAGGTGAGGTAGGCGCCTGGTGAATCAGGCGCTGGGTGAGTTAAGGGCCGAGTGAGGCGCTGGGTGGATTAATCACCTCGTGGGTCAAACGCCAGGTGAGATAGACGCCGGGTGAGTCAAGCGCTGGGTGAGCTAGGCGCTGGGCGAATGAGGGCTGGGTGAATGAAGCGCGGGATGAAGGAGGCGCAGGGTGAGTGAGGTGCCGGGTGAATTGGGCACCGGATGAATTGAGCACCGGGTGAGTGGGGTACGAGGTGAGTTAAGCACAGGGTATTTAAGTTTGGCACCGGGTGAGTTAGCGACTGGGTGAGTTGGCGACCGGGTGAATTAGGGGCCGGCTGAGTTAAGCACTGCGTGAGTTAGGCAACGGGTGGTTTAGCACTGGGTGAGTTAGCCGCCAGGTGAGCTAAACACCAGGTCAATTAAGCGCAAGGTGGGTTGGGCAACGGGTGATTAAACGCAAGGTGAATTAAGCACCGGGTGTTAGGCGCTAAGCACCGGGTGAATTAGGCGCTGGGTGAAGTAAGGCTGGGTGAGTTAGGCGCCGTGTGCGTCAAAATGGGGTGAATGAGACCGGGTGGATTAAATATCGGGTTAGACCAGGCGAAGTCAGGGCTGGGTGAGCTAGGCCTGGTGAGTTGAGGACCGGGTGAATAATTAGGCAAGTGCGAAACAAGAATCGGGTGAGTTAAGTCGGGGTGAATAATAAAATATCGGGTGAACTAGACCTGTTTCCGTCAGCCAAACATATTTTCCCTTTGCGTTGCTTCGACATTACTTGCGCCAGCGCGTTTTGACAAGTTGATATTGTGGATGGGTGCTCGAACAGACAACGCAACCCTCGATGTATTTGAATGTCGCACAATTCCGCTCCAGTGGCGCCTCCTACAAAAATTCATCCTCGCCCAGCCTCTTCGCGTTGAACTTCATCAGCCCGCTGAGAGCCACTCGCGCGGGAAGTGCGACCAAGAACACGGCTGCCGTATGTCCCACTGTTTCGTTGAATTTTCCCCCCTTTGCCTGGCGTCGATGTCCCGAAGGTTTCCGTGTTCGTCGCATGTGGTGAGTGGAGACCATGTCGTTTTGTTACTCCACTTCGACCTTACTGGGGCGAGAGTCACGCGTAATTCTTTTGACGGCCTCAACTTCTTTGCCTGCAAATGCATCCTCAGAATTGCCCGAGCCATCTCCAGATTCGCCTTTCCCATCGTCCTCTCCTTCTTCATATAAGCATGTACACTTATGTATATGTGATGTTGATCGCGTTTGTTGCTAAGACCAATGGGGCTCACGGAGCCTGGTAGAAGGGGTTCTCCCAGAATATTGCCAGCAGTGGGACATCCAGTTTGTCGCTGCTCTCTTGCACCAGCTGGCCTGCCTCATTTCCTTTGGGAACCTTGATTGTGACCTGAAAATTATCGTTGCAATCGCAAATCTCTGTTCTTTCCCCTGTGACCTTATGTTTCAAGTGGCTGCACGGCCCGCAGTGCCCATCTCTGACTGGCGCGAGCCTGCTACTCGCCTCCACCATGTCTCGCATCGACCCCAATGCTTTCTTCGCATCGGCAACTTGGATGGGCATGCTAAATTATTGTGGCCCCTGACTTGTTCTTCCCAAGAAAGCCTTTCGTCAATCTTAAATGTGCTGTACGCTGCCGCGTGCGAGATGGTCCGGCAAACCTTCGCTGGAGACGTCCTCGCAACGCTGAGCTCCGAACTGCCGCGCGCAAGGTGGTCCGGCCTGTTCGACGGATACATCCTCGCAACTCTGAGCTCCGAGCTGGCGCGCGAGTGGTGAGGCCCGTTTTGCTTGAGACATCCTCGCAACTCTGAGTTCCGAGATGCTGCGCAAGAGGTGGTCCAGCCCGTTTCGCCTAAGACATCCCCGCGACTCTGAGCTCCGACATGCCGCTCGCGAGGTGGTGGCATGTTTCGCCTGAGACATCATTGCGACTCTGGGCTCCGAACTGCCGCGCAAGAGGTGATCTGGCCCGCTTCGACCAAGACATCCTCGCAACTCTGAGCCCCGAGATGCTGCGCGCGAGGTGGTCCGACGCGTTTCGCTTGACATTCTCGCAAGTCTGAGCTCCGAGGTGCTGCGCGAGAGGTGGTCCAGCGTGAGTCGCCTGAGACACCCTTGAAACTTTTGGCTCCGAGAGAGAGGAGGCAGAGAGGATGGGTACGACCAAAACGATCCATTTGCTATACGTACTTCTGTTGTCGAGATTGGGCTCTGGGAGAGGTATGGGTGCCGCCTGATCCATCCTGGCATGCCTCGCGAGAAGTGGTCTGGCGCGTTTCGCCTGAGACGCCCTCGCAGCTCTGAGCTCCGAGCAGCCGCGCGCGAGGTTGTCAAGCCGCTTTCGCCTGAGACATCCTCGCAACTCTGAGCTCCGAGATGCCGCGCGAGAGGTGGTCCCGTGCGTTTCGCCTGAGAAACCAATCCTCGCAACGCTGAGTTCCGAGATGCTGCGCGAGAGGTGATCCATCCCGTTTCGCCAGAGTCATCCTCGCAAAACTGAGCTCCGAGATACAGCGCACGAAATGGTCCGGCCTGTTTCACCTCAGGCATCCTAACGACTTTGGGCTCCGAGATTCCGCGCGCGAAGTGATCTGGCCCATTTCGCCTGAGACATCATCGAAACTCTGGACTCCAATATGCTGCGCGCGAGGTGGTCTGGTGCGTTTCGCCTGGAACATCTTCGAGATTCTGGGCTCCGAGAGGGAGGAGGGAGGAGGGTCAGACCCAAACGAACCATTTGATTCCACTTCTGTTGTCGAGTTGTGCTCTGGGAGGGACCTGGGCGCCGCCTGCTTCATCCTCGCATGCCGCGCGAG